ACTCATTTCCCCCGTTTTTTCCTCCTCCCGCCTTTATGGAGGGATGTCAGGAAGGCCAGCTTCTGAACCTCCCCCCGCTCACTTTCACTCCCCCAGACCTTCTCTTCTGCCAGCTGTCCTTAACCTCGCTCTCCCTTGCCCGAAGTCGGCAGTCATTCTTTAAACAGCACACTATATCAGAGGCGTCCTTGAGTTTTGGGCCTGGAGGTGCCCTTGAAGGTCAGCCGGTTGAGTTTCTCTTCCTTCTCAGGTGAGGAAAATGGTGCCTTGGCTGTGCAGTGACCTGTCCATAGGGGCCACCGCTCAGGGGCGGGTAGGCCCTCAGCTGGCCTGTGCTCACGTGTCTTCCTTCCCCGCTGGGGGCAGCTGCCGGCAGCGCAGCTTGGATTTTGTGATTGTTACACTGTACTGAAAATGGGCTCAGATGAAGTCGACCACGATTCCCACTCTGAGAGTTAATGGTGTAAAGGCAACGGGTGGTTCAATGTCGGGCAGACAGCGCAGGAGTGACAGTGTGTGGAAGTGTTCCCAAATGGGTAGCTGTTTTGGTGATGGGCAGCAGGCACAGCTCACCGCAGCCGTGAGCAGACCCGAGTGCAGGCTGGTGGGGGGCTGTCCTCCTCCTCTCGTGCTGCCTTCTGGGTTTCCCCTCATGGGCCTCGGGTGGCGAAAGAGTCCACACGGTGCGGCTGAGAGGTGAGCCTGGGGGCAGGGGTCTGTGTCAGAAGCAGCTTCTAGGTGCAGGTTCTGGATGGGAACTTCAGCGTTTTGATGAAGTAAGGTGATCTCCCAATAGAGTGTCAGCTGGCATCTTGCTGATGTAGATCCGTGAAGGGTGGTGCCCGAGGGCCTGGTGCAGCTGTGGTAGCAGCGCAAGTGTGCAGTGCGTGATGTGTGCTGAAGTGGTGTGTGGCGTGTGCAGTGTGCCGAGGGGCTGGTGCAGTGCATGGTGTGGTATGTGCTGTAGTAGCAGTGCAGGTGTGCAGTGTGTGATGTGTGCTGAAGTGGTGTGCGTGTGCGGCGTGTGCAGTGTGGTATGCGCTGTGGTAGCAGTGCAAGTGTGCAGTGCGTGATGTGTGCTGAAGTGATGTGTGTGTGCGGTGTGTGCAGTGTGCTGAGGGCCTGGTATAGTGTGTGGTGTAGTATGCGCTGTAGTAACAGTGCAAGTGTGCAGTGTATGATGTGTGCTGAAGTGGTGTGTGGTGTGTGCACTGTGGGGCGTGTGCTGTGGAGGTGTGTGGTTCCTTCTCTGGACTGTCTCTAAGGTGTTCTCTTTCGTGAGCACCTTCGGTCACTGAGGAAGCTTTTTCCTCTTGGTAGTTGTTTTGTATTTTAGGAAACAGCAGTTTTCCTTGGCAGAACGTGGTTTTTGATAGGTCCGTTTGTATAGGAGAACTTGAGGCTTGGTGTGCAAGGTTCAGAGTAATTTGTAATCTTGTTGCTTTGCTTTTTGGACGTGTGAGGCATTTGCACGCTATCTTGCTTCCTATCATCGTCATTGTCACGGTCAGTATCTTATCTGTTCCTCATTCCCATTTTAAGGACCAGAAACCTGAGGCCCAGAGGGCTTCAGTGAATCGTGTAAGGCTGTAACAAGTAGGGGGCAGCCTTCAAGTTCAGAAGGGTTATCTGCCCTTCTCACAGAACCGTACTGTCTCCTTCCCACCACACGCCGTGTTGTGCTAGTTCAGCCCAGCCTCTCCTCGCTTTATGAGAGACAACAGAGACCTTGTAGGAAGTATTTTTATGTCCTCCTTGGAATACTGTGGGTCTCTTCTATCCTGGTGTCTATATGGTTAGCTGTTTGTTGTATTTCGTCATGTAGTGTTATTTCTATTGAAAGTGAAACATCACAAATAAACTATAAATAATAAATTTAATATTATGAGTTTTTTGGTGAACAACTGGTAGGACAATTTTATGAGTTTTTTGGTAAACAACTGGTAGGACAATTTTATTTTGAGAATATTGGATTGTTCTGCGCATTTAATTCACTTAAATGTAAAAGATCTGTGGGATATTGAGTGTTCCCTCTCTCTGCTTATAAGGGACGCTCATGGGTGCTCCGGAGAGGATTCTCCACACCTTCCTCATCTCTCCAGGAAGGTGCTTCTCACCCTCAGCTGCACTGAATCCCCTGGAGAGTGTTAACATTTTGATTCTGAGTCCCTCCCTTAGAGATTCTAGTTTAACTGGTGTGGGACTTGGCTTGTGTCGTCGTTTTCTCAAGTTCCGGGAGATCCTAATGCGCACTTCCTGAGAGCCACTGCTCCAGACGCCACCATCGGGACAGAGACCACGGTGTCTGCTTCCTTCCGTCCTCTGCTCCCTGCTCCAGCTGAGGGTGGGAGTGTGCTGCTCCTAGAGCACCAGTGGTTAGGCCACGAGGTGGGGCAGGCGCTTTGAGTGCCCCAGGGGACAATTTGGTGTGCTAAATGTCCTGGTTATTCTCATGTACACACGTATTTTCCTAGAGATAGTTGTATAAAAGTTCTAAGGACACTTTTCTCTTGTTTTCGTAGTACAAACTTTCTCTGTACTCTGATTTTTCTGGTTTTGCTCTTTGTTGAATAGATTCCTATTTCAGGAAATTGTCTATTATTTTTCTCTGGAGAAGCACTTGAGTCAGAACATTTTGACTCAGAATATGCATTTTTTTCCTCTCAGTGGCAAGTGTTTGTCTTATCCTATTGTGTAGTTTCCTGTTAAGAAATGTGGTGTATATGTGAATTCACTTAAGTTCTGACATCACGTTGAAGCCCATTGGTGGGCAGTTCCAGCCAACCAGACGCTTCCTGGTATCCAAGTAAGAAAGATATATAGTTCTGGAATAACAGGAAACTTCAGTATTCAACATCCTGTTTTTCTGGGTTTTGTGACTCGCTGCCTTACCACAATGAAGGTTAGTAGACATTTTTATGTATATTTCTTTTTGTAGAATACCCCGGTTTTAATTTTCCAAGCTCTAGAATTAGAACTTTAGAGCTGAAGGACGTGCAGATCACCTCCTCCAGCGTTTTACGAGTAAGGGAACTTTCACTGTCTACATAAAAGGAAGCTGAGGCCTACTGTGGTTAATACTTCTAATTCTTTAAAAAAAAAAAACGCAACTAACCCATTAAAAATTGTAGGTGGGTACATCAGGCTAGAAAATGCTCTCATTTGACTTGGAATTTTTTCTTAATAGATATCACAACAAATAAAATTCTGTATTATGAGATGATTCTAAAGACTCTGTTCTAAGGGGGAGCGTTTTTTACAGGAAGGATCTGGCACCATGAAATCAGCTTTATTTTGTACTTGAGCTGTGTGAGAAATGGCATCAGTAACTATACACAGAACGCTCAGCTGTAGGCACATCTAAGTCCTGTGGCTCCATTTAGTTTCCTCTTCCAGCTTTTGGAAAAGTGAGCTGTTTTCAGTCCTGTTGACTCAGTGATTTGTTTGATGGCCTTCTTTCTTGAAGTTTTTCAACTTCTGGATTTTCTCTTTTCTTGTTTGTTCATGTTTAAATAAACATACCTCATGACAATTCTTATTGTTTCAGAAATTAAAGGCAGAAGACCATTAATTGAAGATGATTTTTGAGGAAGATAGAAATAATTATTGAGATTTGGAATGGTTCTTCTTAGCTGCTCTTTACGTGAATGTCACAGTGACATTTAGCACCACAGGGTAGAGGGTGGATGGATTTGTGCGTTTGTCCATTCAGCAAACATTTGAGTTTTTACTGTGTGCTGGCCATTTTGCTAGACGTTGGGTGTTGGAAAATTGGCTTTTGTAGATTTTATAGTCCAAGATGGCATGCCTACATCGAATATAAAATTGTCATTGTGGTAAATGTGCTGGGGGACCTGGTGGGGGAGGTGAGCGGGGAGAAGTCAGATGAGTAAGAAGAGTTAGCCAGGAAAGGGGGTGGGGGCCGGGGGGCAGGAAGGAGGGGGGTTCCTGGCAGGCCCTGCGAGGTGGAGGAACTGACTGAATGAGGGGAGAGATGGTAGGCAACTGGAGAGGAAGTCGGGGCCCTCCTCTGCTGATGCTTGTTCCTGGGATGACTGGTCATGTTTGTTGATTTTTGCCCCAGTGGGAGAAACTTTGAAGTATGTTAACATAATTTACGTTTTGGTATCTAAATATGTCTTTCTGTTATTTGCATCTCTGAAAGAAATTTTTTCATAATTTTTCTGACACAGAGTTGTAGATGATTTGACTATTAAAATTTCTTTTGTGGGGGTTATTTGGTGATCAAAAGCTATATGTAGTCTTCAGACAATATTTGGGAATGAGATCTTTGTGTGTTTTAATGTGTGTACACACCCATTGTGGACTACCTATAACGTGTCTAGGCAAGCTGATGGTCTTTATCTTTCAGGTCTCGTGTGTATGTGCACATGAGTGTGTGCAGCTGCTGGAACTGACTCCGTCATGTCCCCAGGTCTCTAGGCGGCCAGCATGGGAGGAGGTGCACACCAGATAGTCCTGGTCTGGCTTTAGTGCTCTGCCGTGAGGGTGGAGGTGTCCCCCTCTGGAATTAGCGTCTTCTGTCTTCCCTGCCTTTTACGCTCATATCTACCCTGATGTCCACTTCTCTCTTCTTCTGCTGTTAGCTTTGGAATCGCCTGTGATAGGAGGGGAAATCTGGAGTGGGCCTGCCCTGCCGCCTCTGCCGTAATCTGAGGAGAGGATTGCGAAGCCACCCCAGCATTCACTGAGTGCCAGCAGCTTCGGCTCCCTAACCTGGGAGGGCTCCCACCCCGGGTACAAGGAGGGTGGAGCAGGGCGGGGAGCTGGTGCTGTGCCTTGATAAGGGGATTCTGATTGGACCTCCCACCCCCAGACCGGAAGCCGAGCTCACTGGTCCCGCTCTCGCAGGTTGTGCCGCATCTTTAGGATTCATCTGTGAATCCTACACAGGGTCCTCTCATTGCTGCAAGAACTTTGTTTATCCTGCACCCAAGATAAGGCTCTACTAATTTTGCTTGTTTAATTTTTCCTTTCAGACGTTTGATGCAAATGACTTGTATCAGGGGCAGAATTTTAACAAGGTCCTGAGTTCCTTAGTGACTCTAAATAAAGTAACAGCAGGTAAGACTGTTTTTCTACTGAACTTGAGGGGGTGGGAAGACAAAAAGGTGAAAATCTTGGCTTTTCTGTTAGCAAGGGAAAATGAGCATTACTGAATTTAAAAAATAAGCTTCTATTGCATTAGATTTTTGATAGTCACATTTGCTATGATATATATTTATTATTAGAAAAGCATCTTCCCCTTTAGGTCCTCTGGTGGATATCAGGTGTTTTCCTTCCTGTGGGCAGAGAAATTTCTACCTGAAAGTATGGCAGAGGAGAAATGTCTCATTCACGTGGGCCGACTCATGGGCTGTCTTGGAGCTAAAAGCACCTTTTTCTGGATTTTTATTAAGTTTATGCTGATTAAAGCTTATATCCAGTGAGCAGAGCTGGTGACTGTTTTGAGGTATGACCGTGACAAGGGAGTGGCCAGAGAATTGGCCTCTAAAGTGAACTCCCACTTGGGCTAGGTTTCCTGAAGTCTGTGAGGGCACCCAGGGTACGCAGTCTGCAGTGTTCAGAGCCCCAGTCATACCTCAGTGGAGAGGGTGGGGACACAGTGTGCTCCTCTGTGGGCTCCCAGGCCGCACTGAGGACAGGAGAGGGTCTGTGCAGACTCCTCTGAGGGAGGAGGCCTGTCTTGCGAGCCCCAAGAAGTTCTATCTTGGAGAGCTGTGTGTATCCAAAATAAGTGCTTAGTGGCTCTTTTCTTTTAAAGTCGTTTTTGTTTTTCTGTTTACCTTTACAGATTTTAGTTTCAGTTTTACAGGGGAAAGTTAGACCTTGATATGTCTCTTTTGATCAGAAACCTCTTGTTTCTTTTGTCAGGGTCTCTTCTCATTTTTGTCCTGGCCCTTCATATGGGGTGTAATCACCTCACTGTGTGGGGGGAACCTGAGTCAGGACACTTTGGGCTAGGGTCCCTGCTCGGGGGTCCTCTGTGCTTAGGGACCGTCCCGGTGCCCCCTCAGCACTTGTTTGCTGGGACGGCTGTGCAGGCACTGCCCACTGCCTGCATGTGGTGGGAGTGCTGCTTGCACAGCCTCCTGCCGCCTGCCATCCCCAGGCAGGGCTTTCCATGTGGCTGTGTTTTCATAGCTTGACTTCTGAGGTTTAAAGTTGAAAACTCAGACTGTTGAGGTGAAAGCATGTGGGGAATATGCTAAGTTAGCCAGTCATAGGAAAGTCTGTGAGGATCTAAATTCAGGAGGAGGGAGAGAGAAAGGGATGGAAAAGTGAAGGGGGATATAAAGACAGATTTAAATAGTTCTCATCGTCTCAGCACTTAATGATGTTTTGCAGGTAAGAGTGTTTGTGGCATTTTATAAAGGTCATCAGTTAGATAATGAAGCTGCCTTCTTTATCCCTGTGGTAAAAATGAGAGCTTTCATGTGAACAAACAGATAAGAAGGAATAAAATCCGTTATGTGACGGCAAGGCTATACAGGGCTGGAAACCTTTAGATCACTGGATTTAACCCAAGAACTAGTATGTGAGAGCGTGCGCAGAGTGTGGCGGTGGCACTTTTCCTGCCGCACGGGGTCCCTGTCTGCAGGCTACTTTAATAACCATCTGTGCCTCAAAGTTTTATATGAGGTGGCCTGTAACTGATACAGGTCTCTGTGGCAGACAGGGACAAGAGTAGCATAGATGGGTAAAATCTGCACATGGTTCTTAATTTGACGTCTCTGCTTCCACTGAATTCTTCTCTGGAGGCTGCTCACAGGGAGAAAAGATGACACCTTTACTTTCACTCGACATGCATTGTCTCCCTGCAGTTTAAGTGCAGATGCCAGTTAGTAGAGAAGTGGTCAGAAGACAGGAGGAGGGAGGGGCGATGAGCAGGTCTCGGATGCGCATGCTCGGTCCTGTGGTCTTCAGTGATCACGGTGGCGGTGCTGTGATTGACAAGTAATAATGGAGACGGAAAGAGGCCAGGGTCACATATCTCTTGGGCACGTGTTACCATCGTTTTTACCCTCATCTTACGCAGAAGTGTTTCTCCTGTAGTCTCAATATCATTGGATCCATATTGGATGTAAAATATGTCGCACTGTTCTTTATCAAGACGTTTATTTGGAAGTTATGAAATAAACTTGGTGCTTTTCCCTTCAGCTTTTATACAGTACGAGTGAGCCTTCTCAGATGGAAAGAACTTTTTCTTTTATATTTGCTGGCTCCTTGTTCTTAATTTTTGTTTTTGTAGTCAGTGTGATGGAGGTGAGTGTATCTGTTTAGACTTCAACTTTCAGTGGCTGACTCAACAGTGAGCCTGTTGCAGCTGTTGCCTCCAGGCTTGTTGTTGGCCTTCTGAGAGAAGTTGTCATTACCTTCCCTCTACTTCTGCCACGTAAAGAAAACCGTTGGTGTTCTCCGGGTGTGTAGATGAATACTTACCTTCCGGTTGGACAGAAGAAATATTGGTGATGGGGAAGTAAGGGATGTCCTCAAGACGCCTTCATCGTCCTAAACGTTCCCTAGAAAGCTGGGGTCAGGAGAGAACTGTGCAGATACGGTCAGTAGCTGCTTGTGGACAAAGTCTTCCTGGAATGCCCTTTAAGAGTTGGTTTGGTGCCTCAGATTGCTAAGGCCTCTGCCGTGCTGCTGTGGACAACACTTTATGGCAATACTGACAGCCCTGGGCAGGACCTGAGAATGTAGGGCCTTTTAGAGGTGCCCTGTAGGGATTCAAGACTGGGATGTCAGAGTTGTTTAGGACAGGATTCCCAGACACCAGTGTATGTGGAGCCAGGGGGGAGGGGTGGGCAGCAGAAAGGAGAGAGGGGAACAGAGAGAAGCGGGTTCCTCTGCACGTGTGCAGCCCTGCTCAGCTCCAAGCCAGTTTTCCTGTTAGGGAATGTAGACCCAGTGGTCCACAGCTGTGTGCTTCAGGAATAGCTGGAAATCTGGGTTTTCCTGTGATATCTTCAGGCTTTTAGTTGTTGACAACTAATTCAAAATTTTATAAGATACCATGTAAGCCAGTCAGATAGATCTGCCAGCAAACTAGGACCTGGAGACTATGAGTTTAAGGATACTTTTCTGGAAGGCTCCCCATGCAGCTTTAAGAAGTTGCTAGGTGCATCCGTTTCAGAACAGTGACTTCCCTCAAACTTTTTCACGGCCTTTTTTTTTTTTGTCAAATCGGTTCTAAGAAATGGATTGCTAACGTTTACTTCCTGGTTGACCTAAGCGGAGTGTCTTATCGCGGAGAGACTCCAGAGATAGTACTAAGCCCTTTAGTGCTTGTTTATTTTGTGAGGTGAATGAAGCCTGGGCTGCCTTCTTTTTGAGGAAGTAATCCTCAGAAGGTTCTCTCTGGCTGAAAAATACAAGGGGATTTTCTGTTTGGTTTAAATCAGAGTCTTTTCCTTTTGTTGCGAAATAATTCTTGCTGCTTATTGCATGAAGCATAATCCTGGAGAAGTGGGCGTGTGGTGGTGATGTGTTGGGAATGAGTACTGGATGGTGCTCTGCTAAGTAATTGAATTTGAGAGGCTTATTTTTTCTAGGTGAAGGGAAAATATTAAAAACAATGTCACAACATTTCACACATTTGAAAGTTATACTAGAGAAGAGCAGATCAGTAGTTATCTCGAGTTACTTTCTGGGTAGGTGATCGGGGGATGAGTGCATGTCATTTCTGTGTAGACAGAATTTGCTCTTTGTTTACTGCATAAATGGCCTGCTTTGTTGCCGTCTGCGGTGCGTCCCTCGGGGGCTGCCCCAGTTTAGCATCTGGGGTGCAGTGAGGGTCCATGGTGTCAGGCATCTCAGCTCGCTCTTTTCTCTGTGCATGACCTTTTCAGACATTGGACTGGGAAGTGACTCTGTGTGTGCCCGGCCCTCATCTCATCGGATAAAGTCTTTTGACTCCCTGGGATCCCAGCCTTCTCACAGTCGAACTTCAAAATTGTTCCAGGGCCAGTATCGAAGTTTGGTAAGTGTGAGAGAGTTGGTTATTGCAATTGGAAGATGTAGGGGAAACGAGCATGTGTAGATGTGTCTGGGGAGATGCACCTGCCGCTGAACCGAGCTGCACCGCCAGAGGGTGGTGTGACTTCCCTCTGTTCCTTCCCTCATCACCAGATCATCCAGATGTTATGCTTAATGACTGCTTTTGAGAAATTTGCCTTATTTGGGGGTTATATTTTAAGAGTCATAAATTTGTTTATGTAGAGAGATGTATGCTTTAAAATATTTCCCTGGTCACCTGCACAGTATTTTTTTACTTGCTATGCACAAATGTACAGAAGTGTGAGAATAAAAAATATACATATGTAAAAGTACTTAGATGTATTAAGAAGAAATGGCTGAAAGCTCAAGAATCTGAAGGTGGTTTTTCTCTTCATCAAAGCGTGACCTAGAAGGCCTTACAGAGTTAGGATAGGTTGATGGAGGAGGGACTCCCTTATGATGGCTGCCAGTGAGGCGGGTAAGGAACTTAGATTAACAGTCATCCTGGGAAGTGGAGAAAAATCCATTTATAAATTGTCAGGATATAGGCTGTGAGCAAAGCGCAGAGGATGTAGCAGTGAAATTGGAAATGAGAGATTGGGGAAAGGTTACGTACAGTACTGAATGGAGCGAGGGTGGGAAGAGGCCATCCTGGCAGCTGACCAGGATGAGGCCACTCCGGCTGTCATTGTGAAAACACACTGAGCCCTCTTTTGAGCTGATGGGTGATCGGCACTTCGTTTGGGTAGCTAGTCGTGTGACTTTGCTTTCATGCAACATTTTAGTAAATGATTTCATGTTAGAAACATGAATGATCTTGTAACATGAGTCTGAAGAGGACCTGATTCTTCTGGAGTTTTCTTCTGTAGGGGACCACAGCTTTCCATCTGTTTTAACACAGAAAGGAATATTGTTAAGTACACTAGTGGTGATCCTAAAGAAGTACAAATTAATCTGGTTAGAGCTGTATTTTGTAGAGAGAAATAAATTTGAGTTTAGTTCACGAAGCAGTGTTAATTACTGAAAACTACAGAAGGAATATACTTTTTACGTGTTCCTGAACTTTTTGAACTCCAACTAATTCTCATTGCTGTTTATCTGTGACTGTGTTTCCTCTTAGAGAAGTCCTGTTACCCCGTTTCTCGTTTTGTGTACAGTACACCCTGCACTGAGTCGTCTTTCTCTGTGCCGGCCTCTGCCCAGGTGCTTTCCCTGCACTAACTGGAGGAACCCTCACAGCGACCCCGTGAGGCGTGGGGTTTAACAATAGAGGGGTTTCGTAGAGTGCTGTTGGGAGTGTTGTGATTCCAATGAAGGAAAAACATAGAAGCCACTTGAAAAATATCTTAAATTAGCTTTATCAAATACATGAGGAAAATGTCAGAGAAATCAGTGAACTTTGGGTAAAGAAATACTTGCTGTTTCACCCATTCACCTGTGGCAATTTTCATCTGTGTTTTCTTTTTTGTTTTTGAGTAAATGAGGACTGGATTGCAAATGTTTAATTTTAAGTAAAATAAAGTTAAGTGTAATGTTGATAATGGATGTTATTGAGATCACAATAAGTATAGGATTAATTTTTCATTAGCGAGAGAAATTTTAAATTATACCAGAAATAGAGACCTCAGCCGTCTCACCTGTTTCATGTCTGTGATTGTAGACATGGTCAGCTGCTAGTGGGATGAACGTGGCAAGACTTCTCTGACCATGCTAGATGAGAGCAACTATTTCTTTGCCTTTAGACTTTTCTATAAGTGTGTGTTATTAATAGTACTTTGAGATAATTTTCTTGGATTAAGAACAATTTATAAGGAAACGAGAATGGTAAAAGGTTTATTTAAAGCTGGGTGATGGGTACATGGAGATTCACCTATTATTCTCTACTTTTGTGTTTGAAATTTTCCATAATAAAAAAATTAAGCTAAAAAAGCAACTGGTAATTTCTTGAACATTAATTTTGTGATTTCATTAAAATAAAGCTTAGCTTTGAAATTGTGTAAGATGCTACCACCCCCAAAGCGAGGATCAGTATTTCACGGTGCTATTGTAAATTCCTTGCTCGAACCTTCCTCACGGCTCGCGTCTCTGTTTAAGAATGTCTCGTCTAACTACCACCTTGGCTGGTAGTCCACATAATCTTGCTTCTGTGTCTGTGAACCTGTCATCAGTCTGTTCGGGGGCAAATTTCCTGGCTTGTGATATAGGTAGATTTGAACAGTTCTAGTGTTCTGTTTGCACCGAGATGGAAGTTTTAACTTCTTTACTTCGGCACTTGCCCATTGCTTGCTGATTATTCCTTTCTTGGGGTGATTTCTTCTTATCCTCTTTCTGATGCCCTGTGCTGAATTGAGCTTTCAATCTGGCGCTGTGCTCCGTGATGGGCCTCTCACCCCAGAGAGAGCCACTCTGTACTGAATTGGAGAGTGGGACCTGGGCTCTTGACTTGGGTCATGGTTTTCTCTTGTCTAAGGCTGACTTCCTTTTATCCTTACATAACTGTTACTGAGTTCTCCAGGATTTCTCATGTCCCTGCTGTGCCCTAAGCCTTCATCCGTTGACTGCTAATAAGCACGATCTCGGGCTCCCGAAGTTTTCCTCAACGTTTGGGGAGAATATTTGTGAAGTTGTCTCTCCTGTTATCTTTCATTTATGAAAGATGTGACTTGAGCCCATAAAGCATACCCTCTCCCTGTGTCTCCCCTGCCTCCTGGGACCAGGGCCAGCGCTGGTCACTGATTTCACAAAATGTATTTCCAAGGCATGCGAGACAGTATATCAAAATGTATTACACACGTTTTTGTTAAATCTTTTCAGTTCCTTGTACAATAAACGTGGAAAATACTGTGCTTCTTTAGCAGACCACATTTCATCAATTCTAAGACCTTTTTAAAAAAAATCATCTTAACAAGTCTGAAAGTAGCATGTGTCTTCCAGTTGATGATGTGTCATAATTGACCATATTTGAAATATAAAATCATGGGGCATTGTCTAATTTCTGGCCTCTTATATTTGATGAAATACAATTGAGGATTTGATGAAATATACATTGAGGAAGGTTAGAGAAGATATTTATACATGATCGCAAGACTGGGAAATAATAACCATTGGAGTAGAAATTGGGTCTTTTACTCCTTGACAAGCTTTTCTTCTTCTATAAATAAGATTACAGGGACTTTTAGGGAATGGAGGAGAAGGTGGAGTTTGTGTGAAGGCAGCACTCCAGGATATCCTGGTTTTGGATTATTAGGATAATTTCCGAACGTTGGATAAAGTAAAGTACTTGATTAAGTTATAGATGTGCGATTTTGATGGGTGGTGCTCTGACTGTAGGGATCAAAAATAAGCAGTTAAGAACGAATGTGTTGAGTATATATTACTGTTCCCAGAGAAGGTACCGTACGTGTGCTCTAGGGGTCACCTTTTCCGTCTTCATTTTCCTCCCATCACTAACGTTTATAGAAAAGTGCGAACAGCTTGATGAATTTTTACAAGTCGAAGATTCCTGTGTAAGCAGCACCTGGATCGAGAGACAGAACTTGACTGGCGTTGCCTTTCCCAAGGGCATCTGCTATTATGATTTCTAATAGGAAAGATGAGTTTTACCTATTTTGTATTTTACATAAATGGAATTCCACAGCATGTACTCATTTTATGACTGACTTCTTTTGCACAGCCAGTTGTGTTTTAGACTGTTGTGGAGTTTAAGGAAAAAAACCCAAAATGATAAGATAGTGATTAAATACTTCCTTTCCAGCTTCCTGTGACACTGGTGATGGTGACCGGAGCGCGTCTTACTCAGCCTCTGGGATGTTCAGCTAAAATGGTCATTATAGAGTCATTGGAGTCCAGCTCTTTGTAGCCCACCATCCCTTCAGTCTGTCTTTGGCATCTTGCCCTCTAAACAGTGCTCTTCACATCAGCATGTTAAAAGTCTGTATATCCTTTGGTGTAGTAAGTGCTGAACAAATGGAAATTTGTGGAATCAGAAATTTTAAACGGATCTGGACTGGCCGCCTGTCCTCTGTGCCTTTCTTCCCACCTCCCCTCTCAGACATCTCCCTGTCCTTTCCTTGTGGAATATCCATTTCTGAAGTAGAGACTGTGTCATTGCTGTTTACCTAACCTGTGCCTCCAGTGTAGAGAATTTGTGACTGTAGGGAGAATGTAGTTTACCTCGTGTATGACTCCTGACAAGATACCCCCACGCCTCGATTTATGTTCATGCTGGTGTTGTGCCCAGAGAGGGCATTGGCACTAGTTGCTGAGCTGATGACAGTGGTTTGCAAAAGAAAACCTGATATAGCATGGTAAGCCCGATAATGTTTCACCTAACCAGAGCAAGGATCACGTGTGCCGTTTGTTTAGATGTGAGCTTTGCTTGAGCAGGCAAGCTTCATCCTGCCCCTCACCATTCAGGTGTGCCGGCAAGCATCATATGGAGGTGAAGTGGTCAGCCGGAGTGTTGGTTGCCAAAAGTTGAAGAGATATTTCTTTATTGAATATTCTAAGTATTAAATATTAAGTATGCATTAAATGTTTAATTTAGTAGATAAATATTTAATGTATTAATTTGAATTACTAAATATAATTTATAATTGTTAATGTATAAACACATATTTAAATAGATAAGTATTAGATATTTTAGGAATTATATCAGCTCCTCTTCATTGAGGATCTGCCTCATCACTGTGTGCTTTATCTTTTTCATCTTTTTGTTTAGTGATACCTGTGCACCTAGTTTAAAGAGTCAGGTAATTCTCCAAGACTTGCTATTAGGAAAAAAAGTCAGTAGTGACAACCACTTTCCATTTTTTTCATTGATTCTTTAGGTATTTGCCTGTGTGACTCTAAATAAAATGCCTCTGTTAAACTTGATTTTTTTTAACTTGAAGTGTTATCAATGTGGACTGCCCACAGTAGAAGGGGGCTTAGGGCTCCTCCACTGCCCTCGAGGCCCCTTACATTCGTAGGTGCTTCTCGGCCCTTCTTCTTCATGGCTGACTTCCCACTGTGGCTTCCGTTGGGACAGTGTTGAGTGTACGTTATTATGACCCAGACTCATGGTGGAGCCATGGCGTGCGCTATGACTGTTCTTCCTTTCCTAACAAGGTTTTGTTTTCTGGAATTAGTAATTGTTGCCTGTTTGCTTAGTGTTCTGTGCACCTTTTGTAGATTGCAGTCCTAGTCTTTTGCCTATTTCTAAGAATCTCTTCCTGTACACTCAGACATTTTAGGATTTTTCACTTTCCTCTTCCTAAGGAGCTCTCTTGAAGTCTTCCAACAACCAGTTGGTTGTCAGCCAGGCTGTTGACAGCTGCCGTCTCTGAGATTTCCTTCATCATCACCCAACAGACTCTCTTGGACCTGAGTCAGTCTCCTCAACCTAGGTTGGTAGGCTGTGGTTCTAGTAACAGCTTAGTTTCCAGAGTCCTTGCAGTAGTGTCTGGTTGGGCTCATTCACCTGGTGTCACTGGGGTCCTGCTGGACCCCTGACGATGCTGCTGGATGGGGAGATGCTAGGCCTGGGTCCTCCCCTAAGGCTGAGTGGAGGGCAGGGAAAGCCTGTGTGGGCAGATGGAGCCTGTGTGCCACCTGGTGGGGATGGAGACTGAGACTTCCTGCCTGATCTTTGCTGATGTCGTGGGCACAGGCGGAGCGCTGGTGCTCAGTAGGGCACGCGATGTCCTGCCCAGTCCCCGTGGACACCCAGGTGCAGAGTGAGAGGGCTCCCCTGCTGTTGGTGGGTGTGTGGGTCTGCCTGCTCCCCCTTTCCTCTCCTTTGGGCAGGAGAGCAGGCTTCTCTTGAGGATGTGTTTTTGTTTACTTCACTTGGCAGTTCAGGGTTGCTGGCCTCTCCAGGGCCCAGTCCAGGATAGATAGATGGAGATAAAGAGACACTAGCCAGTCTGCCTTCCTCTTTCTACCTTTCAGAGATCTGAAAATGTGCTTAACCTCTGAGAAAAATGCAAATTAAAATGAGGTACCATTTCTTCCCATCAGTTTGGTAATATCCAGTGTTGGTGAATGTTTGAAGAACTAAGAACTCTTAGATACAGTTGACGGGAATGTAGCTTGGTGTACGTTTGTAGAACTTTCTTGGAGGGCAGTTTAGAAATAGGTGTTAAAATTTAAAATGTCATACGTGTTCTCTCACCTGAATTAAATGTATAGGCTTATTTACAGGTGTGTTCAAAGATAGATGTACAAATAGTTTTAACACAGCCTTGTTTTGCATTAGGAAAATACTAGAAATAGCCTTAAATCCAGTAATGAAGAGTTGGTTAAGTAATTAATGGCACAGCCATACAATATAATATTATACATTTAGTTAAGACTAAAGTAATTATAGGTACTGGTGAAAAAATGACCATAGTATATTAACTTTTTGTAAATTGTAGAGAAGTATGTACAATAGGTACAATATAATTCCATATAAATGTATGTGAAAGTGTATATATGTTTATGCAGGCCTAACAATGGCAGGAATAAGAGCTTTCAAGCCAAAATTAAGAGGGTTTCTTCTGGGACTGGGAACAGGGGTGGTGGTGGTCAGGGTGCACTGCAGGAGACAGGGAGCCTAAATGTGTCTTCTTTAAACATTCCTCTGCTGCTTGAGGACGGCAGTGATGCTACATTTATCATAGTAAAATCTAATTTTTTTATCATGACGTAGACTGTATTTCATGAAATTTTTCTCCCCTTCTCCCCTCTTCAGGACATGACCGATAATAGCAACAATCAACTGGTAGTAAGAGCAAAGTTTAACTTCCAGCAGACGAATGAAGATGAGCTTTCCTTTTCGAAAGGAGATGTCATCCATGTCACTCGAGTGGAGGAAGGGGGTTGGTGGGAGGGCACGCACAACGGCAGGACCGGCTGGTTCCCCAGCAACTACGTGCGAGAGATCAAGCCCAGTGGTAAGTGGCACGTTGGCAGAAGGGACCAGTGGCTCCTCCTCTAGATGAGGAGGAGTGGAAAGACGTGAATGTGCTCCAGGTGCTGAGTGCTTTTCTTCAGTTGAACTTGAGTGAGTGACCCCGGGCTGAGGATTCAGATTCTTCCTTATCGTTTTTTGTTCAATGGAAGTGATTTTACTTTACCGCCGCACTGGGTGCTGGGATAAAGGGCTCTATAGTGACAAACTAGCATTTCGTTCGGTTGTGACATCAGCAGTTTAAAATAGAGACTTACTCTCTGTTATTTTCCATATGTCAGGAAAACATCTCAAATCTATGTTTATTTTTGCAGTTATACTTTTATATTAAGATAAAATTTATTAACCTTTTTTAGGGCTAGTGTCAGGAATTGGAATTTGAGATATCTTGCAGGCTGTATTTAATTTTTTTTGCTCTGGGTGCTTTTTGCCAATCACATACAGTTAAGTAATTTCTATTGTTTTCTTTGTATTAATAATAGTATTTTAAAATGCATCACTTTTCTTATGTTTTCTGTAATTCTTTAACATTATTTTGTTGCCTTTAAAAAATTATTCAGAGGCTTATATTATTTTGAAAGGGAATAGTGGTATTTGGCACTTTTTTCATTTCTGCTTAGGTATGATTCACGTTGTGCAATTGAAAGTTGTCTCTGAGGCCTGGGATCTGTGACTTAGGTAACAAGGGTATGGCTGTGAAAGTTCCGTAATGCTGAAGATTTGAGTGCCTAGCACATGTTCTCCGTGTTTGTGGAATGCATGTACATCCTGCTTGACGTTCACGGGGGTGATGACAGTCTTCCTGAACACGTGTTGCTTCATGCGTCGGCGTTAACATGTTGACGAGATGCTGTGTACAAAGACTGCTGGGTTTTATGAATGCAGCGATGTAGTTCTTGGCCACATGGACTCCTACATGTGTAGATAAAATGTGTCTTGAGATGGAGCTTGGTTAGAAGTGTGCTGATGAGATGTCAAAGTAGAACGAGAGTTCAGAACCAGCATCTGAAAGGGGAGGAGCATGGATGGCTGGAGAGAAGGAGGGCGGGGGAGATTTGTGAAATGAGTCTTCTATAACTTGACTTGCCTCTCGTCCCTTTATTGGGAAAATGTTGTGTGGTGCAGTTTCTCTGGTTCTGCTTGGGGAAAGAGTGGTTTATATGTATCTATATATCGATATATATATGTTGATATATATCGATATATATATAGATATATAGTGAGTGGCTTATAGAGAAGGAAGTGTGGGAAGAGCGTGATGACCTTGGGCTGGTGAGGAGCCCTCAGGGAGGCCCGCAGAGGTGTGGAATGAGGGCGACAGTATCTCCCTTGCAGGGGGCTTGTGGGATGAAATGGTTCAGGTGCCTTCAGCGTGTGCTGTAGCACCTGGCACACAGTGAATGACAGTTGCTGCCATTTTATTTTTTTAAGGTGGCAAGAAAAAAAGGTTTTTAAATGTGAGCATATTTGTTTATTTTCTCAGCAATGACCTCAAACAATAAGTATTTTAATAAGGCAGCCGGCAGCCCTGATTTGTAAAGGTCTCTGGTGTTGGATTTTTTTAGGAATAACACATGCCTGTTCTTTCTTTTTTTAATTGTGGTAAAATATATATGATGTCAAATTTACCATTTTAGCCATTTTTAAAATAATTTTTATGTGTACAGTTCAGTGGTGTTAAGTACCTTCACATTGTTCAACCTTTACCACCATCCATCTCCAGAACTTTTTCATCTTCGCAAACTGAAACTCTGCCCGTTAAGTAACTCCCCATTCCTGTCTCCCTCGAGCCCCTGGCAGCCATGTTCAACTTTCTGTCGCAGTGAATTTGCTGCTTTAGGAACTTCGCGAGAGTGGAGTCATACAGCATTTGTCCTTTGCTGAGCATAATGTTTTCAAGGTTCATTCATGTTGTAGCATATGTCAGAATTTCTTCCTTTCTGAGGCTAAATAATATTCCATTGTATGGTTATACCCCTGATAAGGAAAAAACCACATCTCTATGTTTCTCCTTTTCTCTCATGCTACTGCCACGCTCACAACACTTCCTACACCAGATATGTGGGGTTTCCACACATTGAGCAATCTAGTGACACGAGCTGGGTGTCCTGCAATTCAGTTAAGTTCTGACACCATCTGCCTGGAGTTAGCGTCAGATCCCACAGGTTAAGGGCTCAGTCCCACAAGACTGACCCGCTTCACGTGCCAGTCACAAGCCCCAGGTTGTCACTTGTGCTTCTGACCAACTGGCTATAAATCGAGGTTCTCTTGACCCCTCCTTGGGTTGATAATTTGCTAGAGCGGCTCACAGAACTCAGGGAAGCACTTACTTGAGTTTGCCAGTTTCTTCCGTAGTAAAGGATATAGACACACAGCCAGATGAAGAGGCATGTAGGGCAAGGTCTGGAAGGGTCCCGAGTGCAGGAGCTTCTGTCGCTGTGGAGTCGGGATGTACCACCTTCCTGGCATGTGGATGTGCTCACCAACCTGGAAGCTCTCTGAACCCCACACCATTGCAATTTTATGGAGGTTTTATCACATAGGTTTGATTGTTCATTAACTCATTCCTTCCTGAAGATAAGGGGTGGGGCTGAAAGTTCCAGGCCTCTAATCATGGCTTGGTCCTTCTGGTGACCAGCCCCCATTCCAGGAGGAGACATCCAGGAGCCCACCCAGAGTTGCTTAATTAGAACAAAAGATGCTCCTATCACCCAGGGAATTCCAAGGGATTTAGGCACTCTGTCAGGAAGCGTCGTCAGAGATCAAATATTAGAACAAAAGATGCTGCAGCGTTCTTATCACTTAGGAAATTACAAGGGTTATAGGAGCTCTCTGCCGTGAACCTGGGGCAGAGACCAATTATGTATTTTCTATTTCACAACCTTATTTTGTTTTTCCATCTGTTGTTGGACATTTGGGTTGTTTCCACCTTTTGGCTATTGTGAATAATGTTGCTGTGAATATAGTGTATGCAAATTTGAGCCTTGCTTTCAACTCTCTTTGGTATATAACTAGGAGTGGAATTGCTGGCTCTTATGGTAATTCTGTGTTTAAGTTTTGAGGAATTCCGTTCTACTTCCACAGTGGCTGTACCACGTTACATTCCCATCAGCAGTGTGCGAGGGTTCTAATTTCTCCACCTCCTTGCCAACACTTGTTTTCTGTTTTTTGATAATAGCCATCATAATTGGTGTGATGTGGTATCTCATTATTGCTATTTTTCTGTAGTTGTTGATAATGAAAACAATATATTTTATTATTTTAATAAAATTAACAATAATAGCCAAGATTTTTTTGGCTGCTTATTATGTTCCGGTTACCGTATAAAGTGCTTTTTATCTGTGACCTCATTCAGTCCTTACCCCAACCCCAGAAGACAAGTATTGTTGAGATGTTCAGGGCAGAGGGTACAAATAAATAATATTTATTTATTCTTTTAATCTGTCCAAGTATAGAACCAGCTGAGAGCGTGGCACTGGTATCAGGCGGATCAGGATGGAAATGTCATCTTGACTTTACAGACACGGCTGTTGGGAAATGCAGCTTAGTCTGCGATTTGGTTGGACTTGCCAGTAGTCACCCAGTCAGTCCCTGGGACAGCTGAGCAGCCCTGGTGCTGGCCCGCAAGCCTGAGGGGTGGGGCAGGCCGGGTCCAGGCTCTGAGCCCAGCTCTGTGGCCAGTCCTGAAGTCTGATGATTCGTTCTTCTCCTGAGGACGAGAGAGCAGCACTGGTTCTTTTCCAGGAGGATGCTGGAGTTGGGGAGGGCTGGGGAGGATGAAGTGGTCTTTCCTTTCCTGATGAGAGCAAGGTGGTCACAGAGCTGGTAGTGAGCACGCCGTCAGGAGTGGAGCCTGCTGGTCAGGCTGGTGTCTGTTGAATCTGGGCCTTCTTGAATTCTGCTGTGAACGACTCGTTCCAATGGGAATTCTGGTCTGATTTTGAGTCACCATAGTAAGAGTGCAAATGAATGATTCTTACTTTTTAGGTATTTCTCCTCATAAAGTTTTCAAAGTTAACGTTTGATAATTACACTGAAAAGATAGAGTTTGTGGGTCTCAGAGTCCTCTTCGGCTGATTTCTGGGAGTTATTTTCAAGTGGATTTGGATGTCATCAGTGTCGTCTCTTGGTAGTGTGTTTCATAGCACGCTGCTACCTTGTAAAGGCTAGCAAGGGGGAATGAACATCTTGTTCTCAAGCCCCATTTTGGAGTGGAGTGGAGTGGAGTGGCCTGAGAGCTGGAGGGGACCGATGCAGCTCTAGGAAGAACCAGCCATTACGCGTTTATAGGTGTTCTCTTATGTGAGGAGCAACTGCATCCCTGTTCTGCCTCTAATTCCCGGGTTTGCATCTTACTCTGTTGTGTGTGTGTGAGAGAAAGAAAGAGACTCCTTTACACGTGTGTAGGTAACTGCGTTGTTGTCAAAGAGTTCTTTGTGGGGTCACGTAGAATCCCTAGTTTTCGTACCAAACTGAGACCCAGGTAACTTTGGAAGAGTGCCTTTTTTTCTGTTTATTTTTTGAAATATAAGGAATAACATATTTGCTTGTATTGGTGATCTGACAGTTGAACCAGGAATAACCTCTTTTGGGAATAACTTTCCTTCCCTAGAGTTCTCAAATTACCTGAGTAGATTCTGAGGACAGTTATCCCCATCTGATTTTAAATGTGGGTGTTTTGAGACAGAAAGACATGAAACCATATTTTTACTGTGTCAGTTTATAAAGTTGAAAATAAAACTAGGATCTCAGTAACATTTCAGTGTTGCATTTTTTCAGTAAATTATATGGCTTTGGATTTTGGAAGAAGTTTCTTTTTTTGAAGAGTATGTTTATTAACGTGTAAGCATTATATTTTAGAGTATAATTAATGCTTCATTTTCTGTAAACAGAATGTGCCAGGTCCCAACATACAGACTCCTCTGACTGGCAATCATGTTAGATCGTTTCCTTGTGAAACAAAAACACTGACTTCTTTTAAAT